ATATATATTTATAATTTTAATAAATGACAAATGAAAAAGGCATGAATTTTCTTTTTTTGTATTGAAAAAATATCGAACCGTGACACCAAAGTATCAAACCGAACCTTGAATTTTGTGTATCGTTGCACCTCTAGTTAAAGTATGTCCTATTATAGGCCAAACTCGAAACTTCCGTTTTTATCAAAAATTTTAGAGAAAGCAGTCTGTCTTCAAATACAGGCTTACTTAGTTGCAAATAATATTACTGACAAATACCAGTCTGACTTTAAGCCACACCATAGCACTGAAATGGCCCTTCTAAGAGTCTATAATGATCTTCTTGTATTTGCTGACTCTAGTCGCCCTGCCGTTTTAGTTTTATTGGATCTGTCTTCACCCTTTCACATGGTTGATCATAATATACTCTTGAGGAGGCTAGAGCATGTTGTAGGCATCAAGGGTTCTGCCCTTAACTGGTTTAATTCTTACCTCACAGATAGATCCTTCTCTGTTGTGATGGGAGGATACTCTTCCTCTGTTGCCCCTCTCTGTTGTGGTGTGCCCCAGGGGTCTGTATTGGGCCCTCTATTATTCTCTTTGTGTATGCTACCCTTGGGCTCCATATTTGAAAAATACAATATTTCTTATCACTTTCACACTGATGACATTCAAATCTATCGTCAACTGACTGATGATTTGTCAGCATCATTGGTTTTTAAATGTGCTATATAAATAAAATTGTATTGTACTAACAACATGTTCCAATTAGGAAGATAACATTAGATTACTGTTCAGTAAAGATGTGAAAAGTACAACAGGTTTGTTTTGGGGTTGTTTTTTTTTTGTTTGTTTGTTTTTTTTTTTTTGTTTGATTGCATTTGGCCATAACTTTGGCTTGGATGAAAATCTGATCATGTTTTATCAGTGCTCAGTTCAAAAACAAACTTTATTGAAGCTGTAGTGCCTATCATCTCCCATCAAAAGCACTTCGAGTTGTAATTTGTAAGCAGATTTCTCTCTAGTTGCTCCCTACTATAGATCTGCCTTTAAATTCAGATATTTTAAAAAAAGAATATTAAAGATTTTAATGCCTTAGTCCATGCAAGAGGTCTGTGTTAAACAGCGGGGGAAATATTAATTTGATCCCCTGCTTGAATTTGTTAGCTGGCTCACTTAGAAACTGCATAAAAGTTCTGAAATGATTTACATGTAGATGAGTGAAATGAATATTTGATCTCAAAGTATAGTTTGACAGTAGTAAGATGTGTCTTTGTAGTTTGTCACCATGTTTGCACTGTTGTTTGGTCTTGCTCATGATGGTGGACAGATTTAAATTGAAGTAACTGGACAGGTTTGCTTGATACACATGAGTTGAATGAGATCAGGAGTAATTATTTGTCATCTCTGTGCCACACAGCCTATCTGTGGGATCCGGGTTTTATGGGATAGTCTATAACTTGAAAAATTGAATAGTTTTTTTTCCTGGTTTCTCCCCTGGGGCAGGGATAGCTCAGTAGGTAGAGTGGTGGCCCCATGATCGGAAGGTCGGGGGTTCGATTCCCCTGAACAGCTACCCTGAGGTACCCCTGAGCAAGGTACCGTCCCTACACACTGCTCCCCGGGCGCCCAATGGCTGCCCACTGCTTCACTGAGTGAATGGGTTAAATGCAGAGAGCGATTTTCCCCACGGGGACCAATAAAGTACACTTTCTTCTCCATTACATTGGAACTACCATAAAAATTAGCAACTGTTCATTTCTTTGTAAGTGAGCAAACTTGCTGGATCTTGTTGCAGCCTTAGCTGAGTATCAAAATAACTTGAAGCAAATGGGAAGCTCTGAGTGTCTTCCAAGGTTTTCACATGCTAAAATAATTTTCTTTTGAGACAAGCTTTTTCTTTTGAAAGTTTGTAAAAAGGCTTGAATGTTCTGTCTTTTTAGCCCTACGCCATCTCTCCAGAGGGTCCAACTCATCAGGAGTCCACCCTTCCTGCACCCAGTGTTGGCGAGGAGAAAGAAGTAGAAAGGTCTGCTCATAGATCATCGTTTTTCCCTTGTTCTTCGTGAGTCTTGTGTAGCGTAGATATTCATATTTTTCTCTGTTCAGGTTTCTGATGCCTCCCCCGCCACCTCCCTGCGTGGCTCCCGCCGCTGTTGCACGCAAAAGGCCAAGAGATGCCATGACTGATGATCCAGCGAGTCTGCCCAGCAGCACCGCGTCATTGGGTATGCTGTTCTTTATTTCCTAATACTCTGAGAGCCTGAGTACTCAGATATTTCTTCTGTGGTGTTGTCTGTTACATGAAATGGCATCTCCCCCCCGTGGAGCAATGGGGGAGGAGTGGAGACCTGTGTGAAACCTTCCGCTGGTGAAACTCACTAACATGCTCTTCTTGTATATGTTTTTTGTCTTTCCCTTGTTTTCTCTCTCAACATGTGTCCCTGGACCTGCCTGTTATGGATGTGTGATCTGCTGCCGTTTCATTTGATATCTTCCCTCCCCCTGGCTGTGGATCAAACGAACTCAAAAACCACCGCTAATATGGGGCTCCTCAATGGGTTTCCTTTTTGTTTTCTTCTCCTGCTTTGTCTACCCCCCTTCTCTTTTCTCTTTTTCTCTTGCTCATATCTCCCACCTTTCTTCTACTTCTCTCTCTCTCTCTCCATTTTTCTTTTTTTCCTTTATTGTGCTCTTGCAGGTGTTCAAGACGAGGTGTGCGAGAAGAAGCCTAAAGTGTTCAGTGATACATCAGGGTTAGTGCCCTACGGAGGGGATTCCTCCGATGAAGAGGAGGAGAGGAGCCGTAGCAGTAAGACAGATAACTCATAACCTCTGCCCCGTCCCATCCCCACTGTCCAGGACATTCATAGACCACATTCAGTAGATCAGCAAGTTTCACAAACTCAAACCGCATCAAAGGAAAAGTCCACCCTTGTATCATACACTGTTCTGGCATGTTACACCACATTTACTACAAAGACAAATATATTTGCTGACAACTGCCTTCGCACAAAGCAGGGGAGAGTCCTTTTTATTCTTCCGTTTTTCAGAACAGATGCATTTTTAATTTTAAGCTCTGTCAGGATCTTGGAGACAGTTCTTTGAAAGTTTGTGTACCCCTTTTACTATTGACATACCTTTTAGATCAGGTAGCCAACCTTCAAAGCCCATCGGTCTTCATACAGCATTCGTAACATGCTTTAAAAAAAGGACACATGTGGAAATAGAGGTTTTTTTGGGGGGGGAGTAAAGTAAGGGGGGGGGCGTATTCAAACTTTCTGCTGCCTGTGTAGAAAATGTAAATATAGAAGTCTAGATGCGAACTATTTCAGCGTAAGTGTGGATTTATGTTAAAATGTCACACCTCTTTGGGCTACATTTGTGGGTTTTTTATTTTCATTTTATTTTTTTATGAAATAGTGATCTGATTGCAAATTCAAACACATCATCATTAGCCACTTTATACAGTGTGTGGAAGTATTCTGGGTGGACTTTCCTTCTACATATGTGAATATAGTTGTATTATAATTTCAATTGGTTTTTTTCCCCCTTTCATTTTTTTCTCAAATGCATTTTTTTTTTTTTTTTTCGGTGGGAGCGCAAAGAAAAGACAGCTCCTTATTTCCCCCTTTGGACTTAAACACTCAAGTCTGCTGCAGTCACAGGTGGTTTAAATATTGTACAATTTAGTGAAACCTTTTCTTATCTTGGAAAATGGTGTATGCCTGTTCCCATGGAATACTATAATAAAAACATTTGAAAGCAGTGTGTTGTCTTTAGTGAGAAAGTTCAGTTTTTAATGGAGATTGGCGTTACAAACATTGGTTTTGTTCGATGTCACCGAGCACTTTGGTAAGTATTAAAGTCGATAATTGTTTTGTCCTTGTTGCCTGGGTTTTTATTTCTTCTTGATACTTCTGATGTCAGATGAATGTGTATTCAGGAGCTTCTATGCTGTTGTGTACAGTAAGCGCTCCCGGGTTGTCCAGGCTAAAGCAGGGGTGGACGTAATTTTGGAAGTGACAGTGGAAGGTGTGCAGATGTTGTTCCAGATTTACGTTAAAGAAAGACAGAGTCCCTCTGTCGTAGTCGAGTGCCACTCCAATCCGTACGGGGTTCACAGTGACCCTCAAGTCAGGACTCCAGCCGTTGTGCAGAAACTCGTATTTATGCCTAACAAAGGGAGAAGCATTATTATTGAGTGTGTCAAAAAGCAATTTTATTCATACTGTTGATGATTTTCCCGCTCTGTCAGCCATTAGGAAAGCAGATGCTGAATAATGAGCCAACAGCAGGATTTCAAATGGCTGCAGCTTAAAGAAAATGAAAAATGTGCTTGTTAAATTGTGCGTAGGCAGAATCAACAAGAAGATGTCCACAATGGGAGCCATATTCAGGGCTCGTGTGATATGCTGCTGCGAATGACTCGCTAAATGTGATAATTCATCTGTCCTGCTTTGTTCCAAGAAGAGTTGCCATAGAAACTATTATAAAGTAACAGATATTCAGCTGTGGGCTTTTCTCCCTTCAATGGGCTTAGTTTCACACAGAACGGATGCACTTTTTTTCTTTTTTGCTTAGGAAAGGGAAAATTTCTGAATGCTAAAAATAAAGTCTTGGCCCAGTTTCTGAGAACTGCAATAATAGGCCCTCAGAGGATCTGCATGTTAATTCTGCTATCAGATTGGTGGAAAAGTCTGCATCTATTAGATCTGTGGAGTCCTGTGAAAATGTCTGCTTCTTTTCAGGGAACAAGTATATTTAAGAAAAATGACTGAGCAGAAAACCAAAGCTACTACAGCACTTGTCTTGAAAACACGCAGACGCTGTTCAAACTGAGATGATTAAGATGAAATATATGGGGACTTTGTTACAGCAATCGGATACAAGTATTTTGCGGTTCAGCAGTTGTGCTTTTGTATATTTGCTAAACCGTTGTTCACAGGCATAGTTTACCTATAGGATCCCTGGTGTGCAGTTATTTTGGAGGAGTACTAATGTGTAAAGAGTACTGACAGGACATCACAGGGTGTTCAGCAGTGAAGCTGATGAAAGAACCCTGGCTGGTACTGACTGCTACCTGGATGGACTCAGGATGTGTCTCATACACCACGAGGTACTGTTGGCCCCAAGATACGAGTTCCTCTCTGTGTCCTCATAGGCAACTCCGATCCGGAACTCTGTCCCATCATCCACCTCAACTTCCCAGTAATGCCTTCCTCGCACTGGAATCAGATCCCCAAGGACAGCTACACATCTGTAAAGACACTGACATTTAAACATCTGCAAGTGTATAGAGTCATCTTTATAAGTCAAGGTTCCCATTATTCGCACCTGGTAAAGGTGTTGTCATCTAAGGCCATGGCACTTATGGGAAGTTCTTCATCTCCATAAAAGATTGTGAAGCCATCTTCAGAGATGGACAGGCAAGGATGGGCAGTGTCCTCCAGGAGATAGAAAAACGTACCTGCACAGGTAAATGAGTGTTTGATTGCAAAGACTCTGCCTGAATCCATGTATGTAGTAAGAAGGTATATTTATTTAAGCTACGGCTTAAACACAGGACATCAGATTGATTTATTCTAATCGTGCAACCTCTGTTTATACAAGGCTAACAATAAATAAACTTATATGCTCTTTCTAAGCGAAAGGAGTCTCAAACATGAGGGGGATGATCGACAAGTAGATGCTTAAAGTTACAGACAGACATAACTGTTCTGCTTTAAATGATAAGGTCCATACCGCCTATGAGTGAGCCAAAAACATAATGAAAACGCTGATCCCAATTGTTTCTCACCTGTCGTGGTGATAGTAATTGGTTCACTCCTGTCACTGGGCCCTCCGATGTTGACCGCTCTCACAGAGATGAGGTAACGTTGTCCTGGCTGCAGCTGGATCAGACACTGACAGGTGGGCACTGCTACAATAGACCTGGGGTTGTAATTGAGACATGAGGGTCACGCGTCTTCCTTTAAATATATAGTAAATGCAGAACACTGATCACTTTGCGAACTGTATTTTATTGTGTATGGTTTCCAAAACATAAATCACTGAAAGATCACCTTGAAATTCTGGTGGTTAAACAGAAACTTATATTTGTATATACTCATAATTGAACATTTTCTTTAATTTAAGTCTACCTTGAAAAAAAATTCATAATAAAAAGATAGTTTACTGCACAGATAAATGTTTAAAGTGTTCTCCAGAGCGACTGGATAAGAAATGAAAATGACCCTAAATGTGGGCACAGCATTCTAGCTGAGGCCAACAGCACTGCAAGGGCTGAAGCTAAGAATAGATTTTCTAGGACAGAGTGCATCTTGATTCAGCAGCTCTATATCCATGGGACCTCAAAAAAACAAAACTTCCCAGGCAAGCACTAATACCAGCTTGTTTATTTTGAAGCAAAAGCCTTATCAAAGGAAAAAGCCAGTGGAGCCTAATATCACGGAGTACTGCGTCTTTGAAGCTCTGCGTTTCCAGCCAAGCGCTTCTATTTTTACCGAGCTATTTTAACTTTAACTCTAGGCGTGGCCTTTTCAAAGTGACAGATTTCAAGGAGAGGGCACGGTTAAATTTTGAGCTTGCCAAATCGGTCTCGTTAATAACACCTCTTACTCGGTAATGCTACTCTCTGTGCCGTCTGCACCCATCTCCCTGAGCTCCACCGTGTAGGAGTCTACGGGGTTGGTGTTTCCTGACTCCCAGCGGATCAGAGCAGCCTCTGGACAGCTACTGCACTCCCTCTGCTTAATCACTGGAGGTGATGGCACTAGGAGAGAGAGGATTTAGACTTTTATTCCCACCAACACACCACTTTGGAGTGATTGCAAAGCTGAGGAAAGTGGCAGAACTATTATTATTTTAAACTGCCACAAGTTTAAGAACTCCTCACGTAGTTGGAGAGTGACATTTGTTACCCGTCATGTATAAGGCCTTCTCGCTGGCTGGGCTGATGCCTGTGGTATTGGTAGCCGTCACCCAGAGCTCGTACTGAGCATTGGGCAGCAAATCTGCAACAGTGCAGTGCGTCTCCTTCAACGTTACCTTGCTCACTTAAATAAAAAACAAAAAGATGAGCACACCTTTAGATCGCAATATTTTCAGGGAGATCAGTAGATACAAGTTGAGCAGCAGATGGTGACATTATCATGCAGTGCACATCTGCAGGGAGCGTCTCTGGTTTATACCCTGCGGTGTGAAGGTGCTGTCTGCTGGTGTATCCTCCAGCACCGGCCTGTAGTAAAGCTCGTAGTACTCCACTGTGTCATCAGAGAACAAGCTCCAGCACACGCGCAGGGATGTCTGAGTGGCAGAGTTGGGCATCTGGGGATTGATTACTGGGGCAGATGGAGCTGGGGGTTGTTTGATAGAGATTCACTGTAAATTCAGCACAGTTATCAAGAAGTCTTTTTAAAGTACAAAAATCTAAATGTTAAGACAGCTCTGTTCTGGTTGAAGCTCAACACTGACACCTCTGTGTGATTCCTATTATTAGGATTCTCATTTTCAGTGACGCAAGACACGGCGTGTTGCTAGATTTGTATTTTTCAAGTGACAGAGAAGGAGGCGGAAAGTGAACCAGAGGAGGCGATTTGTAGATTCAGACCTGGAACAACGTTGATCGAGTCCATCATGGTTTTGACATCCGACAGGTCAGCGAGCGGTGTGTTGAATTCAAGACATGTAGACAGCGTGAGGTCAACCTCGTCTTTGGCAAACTCCTCGATTCTAGTGTGGTACAGAACAAAAAAAAAAGCCCTGATTTAAAAAAACGTGCAGTGCGTTATCAGGCTCATGTTCAAAATTTGACCATAAAATAAATACTTTACGTGCTTTTCATCAAGCATGCAAGCATGTTTTGTACAGTGGATGGAGTTTGTTCAGCAGAGTTGTGTCTGTGGGTTGTGCCCATGAATGAATATGAATGATTGAAGTCTGAAGAAACAAGACATATTGTCAGTTTAACAGCATTTGTCGCAAGTCAGCCAACACAACCATATTGAGATGCCGTCCCACAGCAGCGTGTGACCAAGCTGGTGACCAGCATGAGGAGGAGGTGCCAGGCTGTTGTGGCTGTGTGTGGATCTTCCACGTGCTACTCAGGGCCCTGTTTGTTAAATGAATAAATTGTTTCTTCAGACTTTAATCATCCAGTCCAATAAACTACGCCAAACAAGAGTCAGTAGCAGAATAAGCTGACTGGTATTGGAAGAGGAAATTTGACAAGTGTTTCACGGGCGCGACCCACATACTCAACTCTGCTGCTCAGCCCACAAATGCATTTTCCCTAATAAATGTGGCTACATTTAAGGTGAAATAAACAGGCTTTCCAACGTATAGGTCTATTGGCAGGAAGCAACCTTACAAAAATAAATAAATAAATAAATAAAATTATTGACCAAATACAAATTTCTTTACTTTTTGTGCTAGGTTCAAGGTTCTTTTTTTGTTTTTATTTGCTAAGTTCAGTAAGTGGACCTTCAACTGGGATTTTAAAATATATCAAGTTAAATAAAACTAAAGTCTGAAACTAAAGGGAAGACAAATCTCACATGTTATTGATGCTCGATCTCTTAATATCACACCTGCAGTGTCACACTGTGCAGACTCACTGTGCAGCCTCATGCTTACCTTTTAATTGTGGGCATAACTGTCTGTCAATAAAATCCAAAGAAATAATTTCAATAGCAAAATAAATAAATGAATAAATGCTAATCAATGCTTCATATCCACAATTGCATTAGCTGGCCATGTTTTATTTATTTATTTATTTTTGGGGCCATCTGCAAATATGATCCAGTGGAGTCATTTATCACCTTCAAAAGAAGCCTCTTGTCCTGGCTGCGGTAGACCTCCTGCGCTGTCTCGATGAGCTCCTTGGAGGCATCGAGTGCCTGACCACAGGCCAGCAGCTGACCGTACAGGGCTTCCAGCTTACTCTTCTTCTCCTCCTCCAACCTTGCCGCGCTCTCATCCTGTCGCTGAGACAGTGTCTGCAGCACGTCATTGTAGTGCTGCTCCAAGTGCTGCTCTTGGCGGCCAAAATTCTCCTGTACGTGCAATAATATGAGAGAGTTAGAGTGTAACACATTTGTTTTACAGGAAAGAACAAATTAAAAAAACAACAATTTGATGTAATAAAATGGGCTTGTGATGACTTTATTACTGTCTATGAGTAAAAAAAAGGAAAAAAGCATCTCTGCATATGCATATGATAATAAAACAGTAAAGTTATGTCAAAACAAAGGAGATCAGACTAGACGTTTGAGTAGTACCTCCACTGTAAGGAAGATCTCTTCCAGATGACCAGCAAAGCTCTCCATCTCTGCAACCTTCTCTTGCAGCTGATCGCGAATCAAGATGATCTCCCCCTGAAAGCAGTCATAACGCAAGCTTGAGCTCTTTTCACATTTAATTCAAACCTGCAACACAGACTACAATGAGGGGTAACAGTTAAGAGTTTATGTTGCTGTTTACTATGAGTGTATCTTAATCAGATGTTTCCCCTCACTCAGCTATTCATTTTACTCTTCTGTATTGTGTTGGCATTCTCTCAGAGAAGTGATTAAATGCAATGAGACGACTGTGGCTGAACAGAGGTGGTTAGTTAGTGTCCTCACCTCAGTTTCTCCCTCCTTAAAAGCATCCTCCTCACCATCACTTCCATCTTCTGCTGCAGTGGGAGATGGAGGTGAGCCTACATTGTAGGTCTCCATAGCAGTAGACTCTCTGCTTAACTCCTGGAGCTCGGCTTCCTCTGCAATTACACCCAGCCCGCCTCCTCTGATCTCATACAAGTCCATGATGACAAGGACTCAGGCGAGGACTGAGGCTTAAGTATCTGTTAGTGTCCTGAAACTACATCGGAGGAGAATTTAACAAAGCAGAACTGCTATAGTGAGCAAGCAGCTGATAACAAATTTACCTGAGAATTTAAGGGAGCCGTTTGGTTCTTAGACAGCCTTTTCAGGCCAGCAGCAGTATCCGGCAGGACAGCAGTGACAGAAATAGATGGGACTGTGTTTGCTCACATTTCACAGGCATGCCAAACATCTACACAGGAAGTTCGTTATTAATGAAATAGATTCATTAAACGTGGTCGAAAGTCTGCAGAGGTCTGAGATATGCTGACATTGTAAAGGAACAACAACTAAAAGTTAAATGCTTTAATTTTTAGGATTTGGAAATCCCCGAACATGTGATTTAAAGGTCAAAGTTAAAGGCAGTACCAGAGGCTTATGGTGCATTCAAGGTTCCTCGTAAACTTTAGTTTAAGACATATCAAACGCATTGGATTAGAAATTTCTGTAATGGGACCCGCCTGCTCTTAGTGACCCAGTCTAGGTTTTTCGTGGTTACCATTCTTTGTCAAAACAGCGTATTCTTTAAAAGGTAGATATCTGTGTTAGTAAAACCGTTAGCTCATATTGACCGATAACTTCCGGGGCTGGTGAAGGCAACTGACGTCACACAAATGGCGGACGTTGTAAACAGAGCCAGCAGCTTCTCGGCCAGGGTGAAATATCTCTTTTTAAGATGAACAGCATAGAGTGTGAGCGGCTAGACAGTCTGGAGGGGTGGGTGGCCGTTAAAAGCAACATATTTGAGGAAGATGAGGCCTTTAAACTGGGCTTCATCGTACAGTGGAACGTCATCGAGTGTAAGTTCGCCGTCACCTGCCATAACCGGACGTTACAGCGGCAGAAGCGCAAATCCGAGCCTGCCGCCGACGACCCTCAGATGAGCTGGGCAGGACTCTTCTCCGTCAGCGATCTGAAGCACGTCCACCAGCAGTTCACCTGCGTGGCCGACGTCCTGGGAGGCTGCTTCCCGGATTTGACGGAGTTTGAAGAGGGCAACATTTGGGACTTGCTCTTCCTGAATAGGAGATCAGGTCCAGACAATGACGAGGAGAGGGACTATGACACCCCGTGTAGGAAACTCGAGAAGTATTTCAGCACCGCTATTGACCTCTGCGGACGGAAGATCGTTCTCGACACCTTGTTCGCACAGGATGACCGAGATGTCGAGGAGTACTTTGAGAATTTACAGGAGTTCAAAAAGAAAAGCTTGCAGGAGGAGATGTCAAGGGCCAAGGGTCACCTGAGACAGGTAAGGCGTAGAGGTGGGCGGATCGATCTAATATCGATACCAACGCGATAGGACTGAGACTCTATTTTTGTTCCCCTAAGTGCAGTATGCCCACTGGATTTTGTTAAAGAAATGTGTTTTAGAGGCAGGCACATTTACATTCCAGGTCTCCAGAAAATCAGTTTCCAAACACCTTGTGTTAATTAATTAATGTGGAAAGTAAAAATCACAGTGATTTAGTGGTCATTAAAATGTGTTCAGAATGTGTAAATTAATGATGAATCAATCAGTAATCATGGCACACTGCTCTCCCCTTTGTAATCTACATTTTATAGGGCAAAAGTTTTGGCATCGGTATCAGCAACACTGGCCCTGTATCTGTTTGGTGCCCCATCTATGATAGAAGTCTTACAACACCTTAGAAACATGAGTCCCTGAAGTCTGAAGTCTGAGAAAGACCGCATGCTCTCTAATCCCAAGAAGTTTAAAGGTCTAGTCTGCCATATTAGCACCTCTAAGTGGTGGTGTGAGCCTTAATCAGGTCTACCATGACACAGCAAACCACAGCTGCTGTTCCAGCCAAGGCTCTAGATGTTGCAACACCACCAGCACTGGTCTTTGTTTGCTGCTTTAACCTGCAATCTGACCCTTTAGCTCTGTTTAGTTTGTTTCACATGCAAATGGAAGTAAAAGCAGTCAAATGACAGCCAATAGACCAATGAAAAATTTGAAGAGCATAATACGTCAGCTTGACATCAAAACAGAAATCTAGTTCCATTCGAGATCCACTGGAGATCGCTGGAATGCATGCCTCCAAGCTTATCATGTCCTTTTATCAAAATAATGTGGTCTGAGTTATGGTAGCTGAGTTTTTACATGCCCACACTGTACCTGTTTCCACAGACATCATGATGTAGCTCGCTGAGCTGAAAATGTGCTTGTTGTGCTGGTTTGTTTCCTTACACAGATGTAAGGTTCTGATCAAGAATTGGTCACAGAAACAACGAGCAAGTGGACCTGTAAGAAAAACTGTTGATGGCACCGCTACGAGTAGAATAAATGTATCAGAATCTGTACTCGGTGCCGGTATTATGTCTACATAAACCACTGTTACGGTTCTGCTGTAAATGATACCTTTATGACATCTTATCCAGCTTTTGCTTATGCTGTCTCAGATGCAGGTTTGTGGTGCTGCGTTGATTGTTTTTAATGGCTAAAGCAAACATTGTTCCCTTTGTATGCTGGAAGATGTCAGGGCATAGATAACACTTGATTTTCCAACTATTTACATATTTTGAATCCAAGCGATTTAACATTTTCTTAACCAAGATCTCACTCTCCAAAAAAAAAAAAGTCTCAGTTCCAAATATTTCATCACTCTCACATAAAATGTTTTTTAATACCTGAATTTGTTTGACTTCAGCGGTCAACACCGCAGAACCAGGTCCAAGAATCCCCGTGGTGTTCAACCACTAACCTCATCTTGAAGTGTCTTCACAAGTCTACCTTCAGCCCACCCAAGTTGTATTCTGAAAGGCCTAGTTATCGACTCTTGTGTTAGCTGGCACGGATTGGATTGGTTCATTCTGAGTATGAAAAGTCATACAGAGCAAAACTAAGCTGTGTGCTCAGGGTAAACCCAGATCATGGTGTTTATGTTTTTTTTTTTGTCTCCACAGCTGCTACAAAGTCACAGCGGTGCTGACAGGATGGTCATGCTGCTCAGCATCTACGAGGAAGAAGACGAGGCCTACCAGGACCTGGCGACTGTCGCCACGACTTTCTTCCAGTACCTGCTTCAGCCTTTCAGGGACATGAGAGAGCTGGCCTGCCTTTACAAGATGGACATCCTTGTAAATACACACATTGTCAGAATGTTGTACACGATTATATGCAGGGGATGTACTTAGTGTTAATATCAGAAATTTAAGATTTTGATGAAAATAAAAAAAGGGAGGATTTTACAATACTGTGCAAAAGTCTTGAGCCACCCCCTCATTTCTTTATATTTTGCCTGGAAAATGTGAAATATTGCAGTGATTTATCAAAAACATATAAACATAGCTAAAATATACAGTATGTGAGGCAAAAACAGAGATTGACTTTTAAGCTTGTTAGAATTGTACAAAGTTTCTTCAACACAGCCTGAACAATCTCGTAATTTCTTTAAGTAGTCTTCAGGAATAGTTCTCCAGGCTTCTTTAAGGACATTCAAAACTTTTCTTTGGATGTTTGCTGCCTTTTGTTCTGTTGTCTGTCAAGCTGATCCCGCACTGCTTCAGTAAAGTTGAGGTCCAGGCTCTGGGGAGGCCAGTCTGTGACTGATGGTGTTTTATTATGTGTTTCTCTATCCAGGTATACTTTTACTGCACTCACAGTTTGTTTAGGATCATTGTTATGATGAGAAATGAAGGCGTTGCCAATTAGGTGCTTTCTTGATAACATGGACCAAAATGTGATGGTACTTTTCTGTGTTCATAATTCCAGCAGTTTTGACAACGCCCCTGAATGAAACGTAGCCCCAAACCACGATGGAGCCTCCACCGTGTTTTATAGATGGCTGTAAACACTCACTGACAGTGATTTGAACCAAAAATGTCAAATTTGGGTTCATCACTCCATAAGATCTGTTGTCAGTGATTTGTCAGTCTAGTTCTTATGTAGTTTGGCACACCTCAGCCGTTTCTCCCTGTTTCCCTTCCTTAAGAATCGCTTCTTTACTTCGTTGACCAGTAGATGGATCAACTAAAACATCACAAGGATCTCTCAGGTCCTGTGTCAGGACTTTGCTGGATGTATTCCTGTTTCTTAAAGACATGACTTCCACATACTGTTTACCTGCTGTAGACAGATTTTAGACCTGCCACTTCTTCTTTTGTCCTCCACGTACCCAGTCTTTTTAAGGACACACTGTACATGATGCTGAGCTGCTGCTAAGTCTTCAGCTAATAGCACAGTGAATAAAATGTTTTTTTACTAAGTTGTCTCTTCTGTGTAAACACTGTTCCATGCTTCAGTAATTCATGCGGCATTGTTAGGTGTCTTCTCTAAGTCTGACTCCTTGGAAGCACATAAAGAAATGAGAGTTGGCTCAAGACTTTTGCACAGCACTGACCGATACGTCCTTTAGTGATCACATAAAGGTCTCTTTCACTCTTAACTGGTTCATTTGTTATTGCTGAGCCACACACAGCACTCATGAATAGACTGACCTGTTGCATCACTATGTCCAGTGTGGTTCTCAAACTCTGTGATGTAGGTTAAAGAACATTATTTTTTAAAGGGAATTTTTAGCCTTTATTTTGATAGGACAGTAAGCCCTTGAGTAAAGACCGTTTTGCTTGCTGTGGTTGTCTGCAGAAGTCTTTGGAGTTTGAGGAACTGGGTCCTAAGAGAATTGCAGCTCTGGAAAAGGAGGCGGAGGAGTGGAGAAAAAAAGCAGAGGATGCAGTCGCCTCGATTCAGGACATCACTGTCACCTACTTTGCACAGACTTCAAAGGCTCTGGCTGGTATAAGTTGCTGTGTTTATATCTGCATGGATGTTTCGGTTAATTATGAAATGTGTAAATGATCAAAACCTCCAAAAAGATTGTCTTCAGAGGAAATGGTTTTAAAAGAAAAGCCTCCATGATTACGCTATGGGATTCATTTCACACTTGTAAGGAAAAAATTATAACCTTTATATATACACGACAGCTCCTTGTGCACATTTCCAGGTATGGTGAAACAGATGGAAGAGGATAAGTGTCGTTTTGGACCCGCTGCCTGGGCGTCAGCGGCTCCCAGGCTGGAAAAACTCCGTTTCCTATTGGCCAAAGAAACCCTGCAGCACATGAGAGCCACCGAGATGTGCCTCAGCCGCAAGAAAGACAGCATCAAGGAGAGGGTGCGTGTCCATTTTATCTTTCGTTCTTTCTTGTTTTCCATTAGTATCAGCTGCTTTTCCAGTGGTTCTGTAATTACTCAGCACATTCGGTAACATCTTACTAGAGTGTGGTGCAGTTGTAAGACTTTAGTTATCATTCATGTCTTTATTTCCGTGCCAAGGCCAACGCTGCTTTTGTAGTGGTTGTAAGTCAGTAGAGATGTGACACGGTGCCTACTCGCTCTCATGTATCATTCACTCGGTACTCCAGTCTGATGTGAGTCTGTGGCTGCTCTGTTCCTTTTGATCTATTTATAAAGCTTCTCTGAAAACATAGAGAATCCCCTCAATACACCCCCATCCCGATCACAAAAAAACCCCTCCATGCATGAATAAGTGAGTGTGTCTGGGTGCATATATGCATACTCAAAATGTGCCAGCTACACACAAATGTGTGACTGCACCGGGAGGATGTTTCTCATGTCAGGATCACGGCATTTTTCGGGATGGTATGGCACCGGATCACTTGCTGCTTCACGGGGGTCATGCTGTGCGTTTGAGCTCTTGAAAAGAGCAAGGAGAACAACCGCAACACCTTTACCTTCACACGGCTGCATTCCCATCCCATTAAGCTTTTTAAATAATTTTTTAAAAAGTCAGGTTTGAGGACGCTGGCGTCATCCGTCACTGTGAAATCAACCCGAGCCTTTACATCTGCAGCTGTGTGCGAGTGTTCATAACGAGATCAGCGAGCTACACCTACGCAAACTCTTGCGCTGGTGGCAACACAGCTCGGTGACTCTTTAGAGCGTGCCAGTATGCCTGCGGGTATCCCAGATGTTTGCGTGAGTGTACCGCTTCAGTCTCTGTGGCAGCTGTGTCATATTCCAGCAGTGTGTGTATTTGTGTTCGACATAATTAAGAGCATTTTAAGGCTGTATTTTGAATGCTTTGAATGCAAAAGCTCATGCATGGCACATGCTGCAGGTAGCTGCTGGTTTCAGCTCATTTCATCACAGCATGAAAGCTTGCAGAGATTAAACTGTTTTCAGACAGGCAGTTCATCACAAATGCTTAATTTTTTATGTCAGATTTATCTTGTGTGTGTGTGTGTGTGTGTGTGTGTGTGTGTGCCAGTAGCGTGGCTGAAAGCAAAGCCTATATTGATCATAATGTTCAAGGACAGGTAGCGAGCTGTCAAAAAGTAGCACTTGCCTCACAAAGTATTCACTGTATGCATACAAACGACTGTTTTTTGTTTTTTTTTCCTCCCCACAAACGACCGTTATGATCCTTTCAGCGGGGCTGATGTAACATTTTTCTGTCGTTGCCTTGCAGCTGGAGAACCTCTCTGTGAGAGCCCAAGGCCAGAGGGCCGATTTAAGGTCTGCGTTTGAGGACGGCCAGAAGCAGGACACTGTGGACCAGCTGGAACTGCAGTTCTACGAAACCCAGCTAGAACTCTACGACGCCAAGTTTGAAATCCTGAAAAATGAAGAGCAGCTCCTGGTGGCTCAGATAGACACCCTGAGACGACAGATTAAAGGTATCCTCACATTTACATAGCTGTGCTGTACAGCAGATTTATTTTGGGTATATATACACGTGTTTTGCAAAAGTCTTGAGCCTCCACGGTGACAGAGTTTCTTGTTTTTGAAGCAGTCTTGAGCAACCAGGCTTTCTGAAGGTCTTCCTTCTAGGACCTGGCGTCCACATATGTGGACATCACATTTTGAGTTGTCTAGACCAAAATACTGAATTTTGCTCTACAAGGGCCTGATATCCACTTACGAGGACATTATACTGCCACTGTACTATCGAAATTTTAAACAAATATATTCATATTAGGATGCAATTTTTCTCAGAAACAAAAAACAGGTCAAAAGAAATTTTTTTACATTCATCGGGTCCCAATATGCACAAATATCAAAGAGAAATTAAAAATGCATGCCATTGAAGAGTTCGGGTTAAAGGTTTTCTTTGGTTATCGGCTGTTTTTCACTCATTTTCAGTCTGGTCCTTGTACCCGAACATTTTCAGAACTTTTTTTGTTTGTTTCTTTGTTTGCCGGCTAAGCTACTTAATTTTCTGAATGAATAATTCAATAATAATGAATAATTCCATCTTTAAAAAGGCACCTGGTAAATGGTCTGATTCTTATATAGTGCTTGTCTACTCTCCCTGAGTGCTCAAACAGCTTTATACGGCATGCCTCATTGAACCTTTAACTGAGATTTAAAGGTCTTCCATGGATTTCAGATGGAAGTATACTAATAGGGCTGTTTGATATAACGATATAAAAACGTCTATTGTCTCATTTTACGCTGTCGTTTGTTTCGTGATGTAGCAAAATAAACTGTTTACAGCAATATTTTTTCATCGTTTTGATGGTCACTGTAGTGGCTAAATTAATTTCTTAAAGTTCTTTATTTCTCTTATATTTAATATAACCACACTACGGACAGACAAGCGCCTGGTTTTAAGCCTTTTGGTTAGCAACAACTACGGTAACAGCATCGCGTGTCCGCTTGTTTATGTTCCACATAAACCTTTCACAATAAAGCTCAAGATCCTGTTGAGACTTTTCAAAATAAACTGAATCACGTGAAAGAGTATGCAGAGTATTTACGGATGAGAATTAAAAAAGAGCCGCCAGGTGCTAATAAATAAACCTTAGACTCACACGTTAGAACAGGCTTTCCCCCACAGCATGCCGTGTTATAAATACTCACAAAGAAAACGGCGGCCTTTACAACTTATGTCTAAAAATGTATCGTTTCATGCATCGGTTAAAACACTCGACTCCAGGTACATGACGCGCAGCTGGAAACACTTTACGCAAGTCGAGCTGCCTGAGATTCACAGAATTGACAGAAAATGTTACATTTTTGTGATTTATATCGTTATCGGGACGATAGAATTCTTATATCGGGATATGAGATTTTGGTCATATCGCACAGCCCTATATACTAATGCTAATGACGGCTTTTTGTTTTAAAAGCTCTATATTAAATACTAGCTTTACCAGCTGTGCAATTTTCCTCCAACTTCCTGAAAATGTTGCAAACCTCTGGCACATTGGTATTTTTCCTTATTTCATTTGGTGAACTGGCCCTTAAAAAAGCGTGCCGCTTGTTTTTATGCATGAAGTGTTTATAATCGTCCTTGATTGTGTGTCTCTAATATTTCTCTCACCTGTTTGAGTCCAATATTCTAAACGCATCTTACGATATATCCCAACACTACAATTCCCACAGCGCTGATTCAGCACCCTTCAGACTCTGTGTCAGTTATGATTAAAATGACACATTACACAATGCCCCCCTCCCCGCTGCATTATAATGTGTTGGATTGTCAGGCAGTGTGTTGTGGAAAAGAGGTGCCTTCTGGGAAATGCTGTATTTTGTTCGTGTAAATGTTTCTCTAATTGTTCCTCGCGGGAGGGGGCATGTTTGCTTCCAAGGTGTTTGCGTGTGCATCTTGCTGTCTGTGTCTGTGGTGACTTTGGCTGTGGGCATATTTACCTTTACAGCTCTCAGGTGTAGTTTCCTAGCTAAGAAACAGCAGCGCGCCCTCTGTCATTTGTTATTCGTGAACATAAAGTTGGAGGACTGAGGAAGATATGATGTTCTGTAAATAAGGAGAAAGCTACTGCAATGCAAATACTGCAATTAGTGCAGTTGCTAAGGAGACCCAGAACGTTTCATAAGCAGCTGAGGAGATGCTTTTATAATTTAGCAGTAATTTTACCAACGTTAAGCCGCTTACTCTTAATCAGATGTAAGTTTGCTACCTAAACAGGAAGTAAACAGATTTCTTAACTTCACGTAAGCTGCATAACTACAGTTGGCACAAAAGTAACCTTGGCACTACCTGTGACAACTACCTGTGCTGCTCGTGAGCAGTGGGCATGACACTGGTTATTTAGGTTGTCTGATGGGATGCGACAGCTGACGTACAGCTGGAGAGGATGCCATATAAACAGAAGACATGTAGGAGTGACTGGGCTGCGTTTGTGTTTCAGAGCTGAAGGAGGAGGTGGTGTACTACGATGTGTGCGAGGATCCAGAGGAGTTGCAGAGCATGGTCCACACAGGTATTCATCAAGCAGACCCTCCAGCTGTCAGTCAGCTCAAAAGACGCCTACAGACCCTGGAAACCAAGAGGGGCAACATCTGTGCCCGCCGAGCTTACCTGCGTAACAAAAAGGTGTGTGCGAGTGCTGCTGACATGAAATCATTTCATATTCTGTGGTCCTTTCAAGCGTTTTGGGGGTTTTTTGTCCAAGGAAAAATGTATCGATCCTTCAAAGGCACATCTCCGCCTGCCTCGTGTGCCAAATGCTGGGTTTTTAAAATGTTTTTACTACATTGGTTTATTTTTAGCTGACATAGTAATTGAAGCACTTGGCATGTTTTCCTCTTTTGTTGGCTGCTTGCTTATTTGATTTAAAAAAAAAAAGTATTACTCAGAGCAAAAAAAATGGCAAAGGCAGCCTGGTTAAAGACTCTCGATAGTTAATTCCAGTAATTCACAGGGAGGGAATGCAGTTAAAAAAATAGGGGCATTGGAAAATTACAAATAACGGCCTCCAAATAAAATCCGGATGTGTTGCAGTTGCATTTTCTCAAAGTTTTTTAACCGTTTGCTCAGACAGTCGCTAATTTCTGACAGACTAAAATGTATTTTCGAGCGATTAAGTGATATGTTTTGTCTCTCTTTAGGATCAGTGCACAGATGCACATGAGCAGAAGCACCTGGTGGAAAAACAGAGCTCCATAGTCTTCAACCAGCATCACCAGGTCCACCTCGTAAGTCAGCCAGGTTGTTGGAGCCGCAAATGAAAGCCGCTGTTTCTCTCCTGTGCCTCTCAGTGTCTCCCTCTGTTGTCTGCAGAAACGAGAGAAGAAGAAGGAGGAGGAGCAGAGGAGGAAAGAGTGGGTGGACAAGGAGCGGGAGAAAACTCTGAGCCGATTACGATCCTTCAGAGAGGTCAGGCGCTCTCACTCGTTCTGCTCTGCCTTCGCCTGCAGCTCTCTCCGAGTTAATAAAACCCGGGGGGACGCTGCATCGTACCCTCTTAATGCAATAGTTCACCTCAAAAATAAAAGCTCAGTTATTAGCCACTCGACCCCTCGCGTCGGAGGAAGTCCTGATGACGGCGCGCTGTGGCTGTGGACGGGCTTGTTAGTAATGAGCTGTCTTACACCAGAGCTTCAAACTGTGCGTGGACGACTGCTCTTTGTTGGCTTCTAACTTCAGTGACCCAGTGATATTTTCAGTGTGACAGTCAGACTCTGTTTTAACTTTAAATATAAATATAACTAATGACATTTCCATCAGCTTCTCCTTTACAGTGTGCTGACTGCTAAAAAAGACTTAGACGCTACCTTAAACTAGCATGTTAGCGATGCCATTGTCAACACCTAATCAAGAATGGCATTAGTATTCAGCTGAAGCAACCTCAGTGCTGCTAGAATAGCTACGAGCCCAGGAAGAGAGCCCTGCATCAGTAATAATGACTGGGTAATGATGATGACTACATCATTTGGCGGCACAGTGGTGCAGTGGCTGGCATTGCGTCGCCTCACAGCGAGAAAAAGGCCGAGCGGGCGATTAAGGATTCAAACCTCCTGGGGTTATCCGTCTTCCTCCAGCAGTCCAAAGACATGCATGTTAGATTAACTGATGATTCTAAATCGGTAGATGCAGCGCTCATGTGCACAGGATGAATATGTATGAAAAAGAAGATGGGGGCTTGTAGTTTAAAGCACTTTGAGTGGTCAGAAACTACTAGAAATCATTCCATTGATTCATGTGACTGAATGAATGGTCCTGCTTTAAAACAAAACATTAACGCTCTCTTGGTATTTTTTTTAATGCCTCCATAGTGTAGTGGTTAACATATGTGCATGGTTAGCAAAAGGTTGCTGGCTCAATTCCAGGTGGAGACTCAAATCCCATTTGTGGTTGCGTCAGGGCGTCATGGCAACCAGATGTAACAATGATGTTGGATCTCGGTGGTCAAAGGTCACTACGAAACAAGTTTTTGGCCCCAGGAAATTCTCTCTCTGCAACACACGCAGAAAGTCCAACACTGTGATGTCGTTCCACCTGCACACAAATACACCCACAAGATTTCAGACGGCTGATTCTTGTGTTTAAAATCACTCCCTTGTGTCCTCTTGTTCATGAGCGTCTACATGCTCTGCTCACTGTTGACAGTATATCTGTATATTACATAGTGAGCAGGAAAATCAAACCAATTATTATGTATTTCAGTCGAAATTGGTCCTTTTTAAGCCAGAACTGAGAAGCCTTTGTGGTGAGACTATTTTGTTTAAACCAGGGGT